TTGATTTTGGATTTTACACAAATTACTGAAATAGTTGTATTTGTATTGGCCTATTGAATTAAGGAATTTGTTAAAATCACAATCCATCTAACTTTTATTAGTGTAATTCTTCCACAATACCCTATGCATCTCACGTGAAAAAATGCAAAGAAAAATCGGGCTATTATGTGATTGTACTTGATTGGAAAATGGGGGAGGGTTGGGTTAAATGATAAGGTAGGAGGGATTAAATGCGGGAGATTCTAAATTTAAAACCTCCCAATTATAAAAAAAAAGAAAAAAACTTGATTGGAAAATATTAAATACTACAAGGGAGAAATTGATCCAATTCAATGTTTCAGGAAGCAAATTCTAGGAGAAGCTACTTTTGGATGGGGTGTTCTGAAATTGACCCAAAACGAAGAAATCAAAAATGAAAACTTGACCAGGATGGAGGACCGTCTTTTAAGTTTTAACCACACGGGAATGGGAAAAAGAAGACGGCGTCGTTAGCTGAAGGGTCGCCCACTCGAAAGTAGAAACGACAATTAGTACTACCTCTACCTCTATGGGTCTACGTTCCACTATAAATCATCCCCACTCCACTAAACCGACGCCTACGGACCATGTCGTTTTCTTCTTTACTCTCTCTAGTAGTATAATAGTAGTCGTACGACGGTTCGAGTAGTAGTACTGGCGGAATAAGCATTTTAATTTTAGGAAGGCAGAAATGAAATATATGATATCTCAGTGGGCAATGCATGAGATGTCAATAAGAAAAAATAAGGACTCACAAACAATGTGATACAAATTTAGATGTGCCTATTCTAATTGAAATGTATTTTGTGAAGGGAGGATTGGAAAAGTAAAACGCAGTTTTGGTATCTAAATTTTGACTCGATTTTGATGACTAAATTTTAGATAAAAATAAATTTGATATCCAATGCTACAAAATTTAAGAACATCTGGTATAGTTGATGTAATTTTTTTGAATTCCTGCTAGAAAAAATTACATGCTGTCACGTGTATGACAATGAAATTATAAACAAATTTTCAAAAAAAAAAAATCAAAAAATAACCTATGAACTCGATGCAAAAGAAAAACAACTTTAAAAAGTCTCAGAACCTAATGTTGAATTGAAAAAAATTCAAAGAAAAACTTCACTCTATCTTTGCAACATTGTTGATCTGTCAGTCTATATTTTTCAATTTTTACAAATTTGTTGATCATTTTATTTTTATAATTTTGTTGCCATACATGTAAAGCATGTGACTTTTTCTGATAGGGATTTGAAAAAATTCCATCAAATGCATCAAATATACTTAAATATTATAACATTGGGTATAAATTTATTTTGTTTTAAAGTTTTAATGTCAAAATTCTGACGATTAAAGTTTAGATACCAAAACTAAATTTTACTCATGTTTGGAATGAATGAATTGTATTTTTTTTTTTTGAAGGGAAAACAATGAAGCATCGCCATCTTCCCGCAAACATAAGTTCGAGCACTCTCTTGTTCTTAATTGGTTTTTCAACTTCTTAAATGGGAAAGGATACTCTCAAGGATAAAATTATAATATAAAATTCTTTCTCAAGATAAAAAATGATGTAAGATAATTTACTTTTGTATAATTAATTGAAGAAAAAAAAAGAGCAAATATTTTTTTTAATATGAATTTCTTAGTCAAATAAATTAAATTAGTACTATAGTATGTGACACAGAATTTGAAAAGCTTTTTACTGTTTTTAAAATTTTAACATGTAAAATAATTTCCTAGAAAGTGATATGGAATGGGTTGCCCCTTGAGTTCTGGGATCCACATCCCCATCTCAAGAAATTATTTAAGTCAAATTTAGAGTAGATTTTTTGGTTTTATTTGTAGCTTTATTTGTTTTCAATTAGTAATCTTATTATTAATATTGGTTGTGATTGAAACATGAGTCGAGGTGGCCAAAAGAAAAAGTTTTGAGGCGTCATTACTGACGATCCGTGGAAGGATCCTCAATATAGCCTTGCGGATCCATTCCGGAGACCGATTCCGATGAAATTCGGCACTGGAGCCCACGAAGAAATTGTTTGGACTTGGGCGAAAGTTGAGCGCAAGTTTAAGTCATTTAGGATTTTTTCCTGTGTTTTTGTTTTCTCCCTAGTTTAGGTCTTTGTAGCCTATAAATAGGCATATCCTAGGGCTTTGTATCGACCTTTTGTCCCTTATTAATGAAAATTTCAATTGATTATTTCAATTGTTGAGAGTCATTATTCTTGAAATTTTTTGTAGTGTTTCGGGATTTGAACATGATTCGACTCTTTATTATTTTTATGGATTTCATTCATGAAATAAATCTTATTTACACGCTTTCGCTATTGCATAAAAAAGCAAAACATATAATTAGTTACTTCACTCATTCAAGTTTGGGGGCAAGGACCAAAAACTTAATGCAAAAACAATTCCTTAGTAGCAAAACAGATCTTCAAACAGATATTTTTATTCATTTTTTTTGGAAGGGTGTAGGGTTGTCAAAATTATTTTTTTTTGACAATTACTTAAGGTTAAAATTGACGGTCCAAATCAAATTCTTAAAAAAAAAAAAGAGGAATAGGTATGCTTCCACTCTTTTTTTGTCAATTTTAAGCGGCAAATACACACGGTTACCTAAGGTAATTCCACCAACATACTCAAAAGGCAATTGCTGACTTCCAAGTATGTTCATGGACCTTAAATACCACACACACACACCTCTCAGAATTGATGTGGGAACGGGAGAAAGGGACTACACAGGAGTTGCTGTTAAGCCTTAACTAAGACCCACTCACAGATTGCACCTCTCCATTTGTTCTTTTTTTGTCAATTTTAAGCGGCAAATACACATGGTTACCTAAGGTAATTCCACCAACATATTCAAAAGGCAATTGCTGACTTCTAAGTATGTCCATGGACCTTAAGTACCACACATACACACCTCTCAGAATCGATGTGGGAACGGGGGAAAGGGACTACACAGGAGTTGCTGCTAAGCCTTAACTAAGACCCACTCACAGATTGCACCTCTCAGGTATGCTTCCACTCTTTCTAAACTTTATCCTAACATTAGAATAGGTATGCTTTCAGTCTTTCTAAACTTTATTATACAAAAGGGAAAAAAAAGAATAAATAGCATTTTAAGCTCCGGTAATTTCTGTAGTGTATTCACAAAGTTCGAAGACAGGTGTGGAAAGCAAATAATATGGCAAAGAAGCCTCCACGTTGCAACCTAACAAGTACGGACGACGAAAGGGAATAATTCTAGAAAAGGAAGTGATGACCTATAACCGTGGTTTGGACATTGGAAATGTAGCGTACTGCACAAGCTGAAAATGCATTGGGGTGAAACGGAATTAACATAAATATAATGGGCTAAGGAGTAAAAATAAACCCGTTAACTTTATTAAAACAACCCCAATTTTCAACTCTTTCGTCCATAATAACAACGGAGTACCCATTTTCCTTGAATACAAATGTTAGTGATCGCACAATATCATATTCAAATGCATTTTTGAATAAAGAGCCAACTCTTTATGGCTTTCCTGCACTACAACTAAAGATTAAATCCATTTTGAGGACCATTATTATATTCAAACGGGTGTCTCAGTTTAAAAGTTTCAGCTCCCATTGGCTTTCTTCCATTACAACAACATAATACCCAAGGTGCCATAAAGACAGACTGATTTATCGGATAAAATGAAATTAAATCCGTTGATGAGTAAAAGACCAGCTCTTTGTGCCTTTCAACCATTACAGTGACAGAGTACCCAACGTGCCTTAAATACAAATGTTGGGTTATGGGATAAAATTTAGTTAAAACGGTTGTCTTATAAACGACCAGCTCTTTACGGCTTTCGTCCATCAAACAGTCAGGAGAACCCAATTTCCTTGAATACAAAATTATTTATCGGAAAGCATAAAAATTAACACGCCGGTATCAGTTCTGTTGTATAAAACATCGAAGACGAAGCGTAAGAAGTACTAAACAAAGCCACGCTGGGGCCACTGAAGAGGAAGCGTATTAGGTACTAAACACACAGCCATGTTGGGGCCCGCAGTGAAGCGTGTGTTTGAAGACAGGTGGTGAGGTCGGAATCGAAGGCAAAAATTTGGTAAAGAAGAAGTCAAGGCGGAATAGACAGAGGTGGTGTCTACTGGCGTAAATTCAGGCGCAGGCGGTGACGGTAGATATATCTGAGGAAGGCCCTTCCGAAGCTGTGGTGACAGAATGCAGCGGCGTGGAACAGAAGCAGAGAAATCAAAGGTGAGTGCTTTTGTTCATAACTTTGAAAAATGGAGTAAAATAACGAGTAAAACACCTGTACGTCTAGTAGGGTGATTTCTACAGTTCTTGTAAGAGGCAATGATAGAGGAATAAGGAATACGAAATACGGGGTGTAAGACCCTGCGTCTTCGAACAAAGATGAAAGGAAACCAGGAAATTATCGCAGTTTATTTGTGCACCGAGCTTTGTGTACGTACATAGGAAATGTTGGTCCTCTAATTTGTATTAAATTGTGTAAAGGAAATTAAGCAGAAATGAGTGAAGACGTGAAGAAGACGTTGTAACAGGACTAAAGTCTTAAAACAGAGTGATTTGGATGGCTGTGTGGACATCGATAATGGCCCCGTACTGCATTACGAATGCTTATGTGAAAAGAATTAAAGAAACACACAGTAGAGGTTGAGTTTGTGGGTGTTAATGAAAATGCGTGTCGATCGTGGTATTTTGTGCTAAAGGTTGATATAATTGCATCAGCTACACTTATAAAAACTGTGTATATGAATGTTAGAGTAATGTTTATCGTCTGCATTTTGTGAAAGTTGTGAGGTAAAGTATGGTTTGTTAACTGAAATGATCGTGTATATATGTTTTGTTCCATTAGTAGACGATCAGTATTTATGTTACAAACGAAAGCATATGCGGAGGTTGAAAAAAAAATGTTAAGCGACCATGGTTAGAAAAAACATTGAACAACCACACAGGGGTTGTAACTATGGGGCAGGATGGGGCGCTTAAAACTCATGACATGGTGCAGGAAACAGAGAACGGAAAAATGGGGATGGATGGTTGCGGCAAGTTAAGGTCATTTGACCTTAACCAAGAACCTGAGTGTGACCGAGACACATTCATTGAAGAAAGCGGTAGTTTAATAGGAGGACACGAAGATGAGGAGGCAGATGAATTGGTGGGCGCAATAGGCGTGGATGACGTAATGAAATTAACATTTGACACGGAAGAAGAAATTGGAGAATTCTATAATTTGTATGCGAAACTAAGCGGATTTGGGATTCATAAAAGTAATGCCAAACGAGATGCAGATGGCATTTCAAGATTTAGAAAATGGGTATGTTGCTGTGAAGGTTATAGGAATGAAAAGTGGTTTAATTATGAAGACCGGAAAAGAGAAGCAAAACCAATCACAAGAACCGGGTGTGGGGCTTGCTTTCGCGTGAAATATGACATAGAATCGGTAAAGTATGTGGTGACACGTTTCATTATGGAGCACAATCACCCGCTAGCATCAGAGGCAAGTGTGCAACACATTAGGTCGCATAGAAAAGTGAGCGATGCAGAATATGCACAGGCAAAAAGTCTAAAGTTGGTTGGGGCCAGAATATGCCAGATAATGAAACATTTTGTTATCAAAGCCGGAGGATATAGTAACGTGGGATTTTGCATTAAGGATCTGTACAACCGAATGGACGAAGAACGTAAAAAAAATATTTTTAATGGCGATGCAGAAGGGGCACTTGGGTTCTTGGCAGTGAAGAAGGATGCCGATGACATGTTCTTTTATAAATATCATGTAGATAACGAAGGTAGATTGGCAAGGTTGTTTTGGGCAAATTCTAAATCTCGTGCGGACTTCAGTGTATTTGGGGATGTATTGGTGTTTGATACAACATACAAAACAAATAAATACCGCAAGCCACTAGTTGTACTTGCAGGGGTAAACAACCATTTGAACAGTATTATTTTTGGCTGTGCACTGCTATCAGATGAGAGGATTGAAACATATGAATTGGTGCTAAGTACATTTGTAGAGGCTATGAAAGGTAAAAAGCCAGTAGCAGTGATGACAGATGGGGACAGTGCAATGCGAAGAGCCATAAAGAATCTTCTCCCGGATGCTTGTCATAGGCTATGTTCGTGGCACTTGCATAGAAATGCACGGAGCAATATTCGCTGCGAGGAATTTAATAACAGGTTGTATAACCTGATGGCGAGAAAGTGTAGCACTCTTGAGTTTGAGAATCGGTGGGCTAGGATAGTTAATGAATGTGGGGTGGTAGAGAATGAGTGGGTGAAGAAGTTGTACCCTAGGAGAAGGTTATGTGCAGAGACCTATTTAAGCGGCCATTTTTTCGCAGGTATGAGAAGTACTCAAAGGTGTGAGAAAATGAATGCTTTTTTGAATGAGTACTTGAATGAAAAAATGGGACTATATGAATTCGTTAGAAGTTTTGATTTGGCAATAGCATGGCTTCGACATACTAAGAGCAAAGCAATTCACACAAGCGAAAACACAAAATCAATCTTAACCACAATCCTGCCCGAATTAGAGGGGAGCGCATCGGAGGTGTTTACAAGGAATGTGTTCTTCATGGTGAGGAAGCATTTGAACAGGTAAAGACTTCTAATTTCTGAGGGCTGCAGCGAGGAGGGAGGGAGTTGTACATATTATTACTCGAAATATGATGGACACGAAATAAGTTGGAGGGTAGATTATGATAGGTCAATGGAGAAGCTAATCTGCTCTTGCATGAAATTCGAGTCAAAGGGGATTCCTTGTGCTCACATGTTTCGCGTGATGGTGGTAGAAGTAATGAACAGGATCCCAGAAGCATGCATTTCGAAGCGGTGGACAAAGGGAGTTTACTGTACTGATAATGGAATGAAAGCATTTATTGCAGACGAACAGCTGACACAAATGGCCAGATATGGCACTTTAAAGTCCAGCTGTAATACTATGTGTTACTATGCCTCCTACATGGATGATGCGTTTAATGACCTGCAGCAGATGTTTGACAAGCATTCTGTGGACCTAAAGGAGAAGTGGATTGACAGGGGATATGGGGGAGACGGATTTGCAATGGATTCAAGAGTGAGGAACGATAGAAGTAGAAGAACATTCGGGCTGTTAGATCTCAGGGTGTCCCGGTCTAAAGGTGATCACAAGCATGCAGAAGCAAAGAAGAAAAGTGTGGTCATTGCATGTACTATCGAAATTGCATACGTAGTTATACAATAGTTAATTGATAAAATACATGAAGTGGACAGTGAAGGTAATAATGAAGAAGTGGGTATTTTTCGTTCTTATTATCAACGAACATGCCCATACAAAAAGAATTCACACAACACAGCAGTTCATGATGATTATATGAAAAATTGTTTGGATGACTCGCTGGAAAAATTATTTGAAATTGGTACGGGTTGGAGCGACTCAGGCGAATGGAGAGGACAAGCATTTGTACCACAACCATTCGGTAGCGGTGGAAGGGACACAGGTGGCCAACAAAGAAGTTCAGGAGAAAGATGAGGCACTACTGTTGTGATGCTTCGGTTTACAGTTGCGCAATAAATAAGGCAGGTTTTGGTGAGTAGAGGTGCAAGAGTAGTCTTTCCATGAAACAAGTACGAAATTGTAGAAGGGGAACGGTTTGTATCTTTCCTTCGCATTAATTTGTTTTGAGCATGAGAAGGCTACAAGGTATTCGTGAATGCGGGGAATGCTGGGTACAAGTTGTGGTGGTGTTTAAAAAAATTTGATTCCATTACCATTGAAGTGTAAATAATGTAAGTTTGAATGTGTCATGGGCCATTGTAAGCTGTTATGACCACAGCTACACAAAGGTAGTAAACAGTCATTGTACTGATGCAGTAGCTGTTGGAAAATGGCTTTGTTGTTCTTATTTCACTGCTGTTGCATGTGTAAATCCTATTATATATTCTTTTAGGTGTGAAATGCAGAGGTTGAAAGAGATGGTATGGTTGTGCATGGAAGTAGCAGCCGTGACGACAGACAGGTTACAGAGCAACACCGGCTTGAGGGATTGTCTTTTGTTATGTATCGGTGGGGTGAAGAGTATTCAAGGTTGCTAGGTCTAGATGGGTAAGTCATTGTAGTTCCACCGAAGGGGTGATGCACTGAAGGATCACCAGATGCATGACTGTCATGGTTGCGTCGCGTCGTAAGCACTACTGTAGCAAATAGTGCTACTGCACTTGGTTAATAGGAGAGTAAGTAGTTGACAAATTATTTATTAGATGAACCAAACTTGTTACGGTCCTTTTTTGTAAATAGGAAATTAAGTGGAAGCGTATGTTGCGCAAAATCTCTTCGTGGGGTAGATGTTTTCCAAAGTGGCTACTTGGGAATCAGCTTCAGTTGCCCAGCTTTTGTAAACTGGTGCCTTACGCTGCTGCTATAAACTGCTTTTACGATATGGGCTGTTTGTTCCTCTCCTTGCTATCCTAATCAATGACCGTAAGGCCCAACGTCTTTTCTTTTGCCCATCATTCCATTCAGGTGTAGGAACAGTAACTTCTGTTTCTCCCCATCTATTTTCATTGCTCACAATGCTTATGCGTCTCTTCAGTGCACCAATAACAATGGTATTATTAGTTATATGTATTATATATGTATATTAATTTATGTAATATAATTAATATTATGAAATATACTAATAATTATACATATTTACTAATAGAAATTATTAATTAGTTCGAGTAACTTTACTAATACATTTGTACTAATATATTTAATTAGCCAATAACTATCAATTACGATATAGTTTGTAATATATTTATTAGGGATAATTTAAGAAACCTCCCCTGAGGTTTCTGACACTTTCACTGGCACCCCCTGAGGTTCTCAAAATTTGACTGACCTCCCTTGCCTTTGAGTTATTGGGTCCCTTAGCTGACATCATGAAGGCCAAAATTACAAATATATGGTATGAAGTTGGAATTTATTACTGATGTTGGGGTTTATTATTACCGTTTAGTTGGAGAAAAAGGCATCTACAGTGATTAATGAAGCCTAGCAACAATAATACAAACTTAGAGAGTAATACATGAAGTAAAGCTGGATTAGGGAGTAAGGCACCATTTTTGTGCCATTATTGTGGCAGCTGTTTCAGTTAAAAATGTTTTTAAGTAAAATTCAAAAAATGGTACAGTAATTTCTTATGAAAAAAAAAAGTAGTAGGTTATCTACGTAATATAAATCAAAAATAGTTTAAAAAGGAAATATCCCATAAAGTACCAACTTTTTATGGCTTTTCTATATTACATGAATGAAGTACCACGTTTTGTATGAACATTTTATTATAAATCATTTAATTTATGTTAAATACATAAATATTTGCAAATAAAATTCAAAAGCCATTACAGAAACATCTTTACGAAAGGAAAACTAGCATTTTTTGAATTATTTAATATAAATGAAATATTTTAAAGTGAACAAAAAAAATTGTCCATAATATACCGGTTCTTTATGAGTTTCTTCCATTATATAAATTAAGTACTAGCTATTTAAGAGTACTTGACTTCGAAATAGAAGCGCAACTTTGAAATACGCTATTTTAATTTTAGTAAATTTGTTTATATATGAAAAATTGGTTAACTAGCGCAGTGAATTCAAACCCTGCTTATGTATCGGATAAAAAAAGTACTCCAGGTCTGCACTAAAACACCAGCTCTTTATGCCTTTTCTCCATAAATTATCCGTTTTCCCATTTTTCCATAAGCTAATTCAGGGGATGTTTCTGAAATTATCCCTTACAATATATATGTGTATGTAAGATTAATAATTTATATAATAATAAATATGTTTATTATTATGCATATAAGTTTGCAAAATGATTAAATTTAATATCTTATATACGTTATAACTGTGTAAAATATTAGTTAATTAGTATTTATATATATTATGTAATTATAGATAGATATTTATAATTTCTTTGAGGGGGTTTACTCTCGGAAAAATGTGCAGTAGGAGCTTAGTCTTGGAACTTTGCAGAGGAAGTTGTTGAAGTGAAAGAAAAAGGGAAATGTGTCTTGTGCCCAAAGTAACGAAACAGAGTTGAACACGATTAATTTTTTTTACAGCATTTGTACATTTCCATTGGAGTACAATATTTCACGTAACTTGTTTGCACACGATTAATGAATTTCTTATTAATTATAACAATTATGCAATGTCCGCGTCATGTACGTAATCTAAATGCCTATGAACTATAGAAAAAATTCCACATGTTTACTGACACTCCATCCGAACAACTTTGATACACCAGTTTTTTTCGGTGATATAGTTTAACAAAAATTGGTATACCTTGTTGGAACAATCCACTTAGGTAGCAATGCTTTGTCAGCCTCCCTCACACTAATTACTGTACAATTGTGTGGAAATTTGAACTCATATTCTTGCGTTGGAGTTGCATTCATACAAAAGGCTTTTCTGTCATGATATAAATAAGTTCAAAAAATGTAATGCATTAAATGTGATAGATTTATAGTAACAACAACTTCCATTTAAATTGTTTTGTTGTAAATATTTAATTTCACTGCAAACTTCCATTGCAGGTGAAGAAAAATCTGGGACAGACGAAAAATAAGAACAGGACTATAAATTAGTTGTGGGAAATTTACGGTGACAAATTTTCTATCAAAGCAGTTAAACGGTACAAATTTAGACAAACAAGTTCAACGTTACCAATTATCTGTCAACTGTTAACCTTTTTCGTGTTCAAGTTTAAAATTGTATTAGAATTACACAACACACGTGACGATTGCTCACAGCTTGGCTTTGTTGGTGGGGACTCCCAACTAGTTTGCATACTCATTCCTCCGGTTACACAACCTTGTTTGCGGTTATGGGCCATGGGTGCTCAGTCTTTGGCATTATGAATTCGCTGACATTCGTGAGCTTTGCCTCTACCAAGCTCATCCGTAAATGTCTGCGTCTCGGCACTTGTGTTCGGACGCTTAGAAACACAGGATTCCCGGCCACCAATTCCACCGCGAAGGCAGCGTTTCCCTGTCCCCTTTTGGAGCTTCAATGTACTTTCCAAAATTACCTGTATTTGATGTAGCCTTTGGTCCACCACTTGTGAGTTGTCCGACACATTGGATGCGAAACGAAATATTTCTGCACTTTTTTCTAAGACTTTCTTTCTCAGACCCATGCACTGAACAAGCAGGTCCTCGTACCAGTGTCTAGGCACCTAAGCGGAAACAACACAGATGGTTGTATTAATTTTACACAAATTGCTCAAATTAAATGGCGGGTGAAGTACAGGGCGAAGAATGCCATACCACATCACCAACAGCACATGGAAGAGGCAACCCTATTACATCGCCACCAACTCTGTGAATGCCCTCTTCCTCCAGTGATCCATCAGTTTGTATGCACAACATAGACCAGGGAGGGTAATTAATTGGATGTTTCAGTGACGGTGTTGTAGCCTCACTTAGTGGCAACTGGTCATATATATGAATTACACACTCCTTCCCACTGGGTGGCAACGTGGAGAAAGTCATTGGTTTCATTAGCCTGTTGCGCACAAACTCGTCATACGTAGCATATGGAAGGGGATCTGGGTATAGGCTTGCAATGGGCAGTCCATGAAGCACATCATGTAGCCTGTTTTCCGAAATTGTATCAGTGCTGTACATATCTGATGGCCGATGGGGAGGTTGCTTTGCATATACACCTGCCTAATAACCCTCTCGCCCAGGTAGTAAAATCTTCCCATGGGGCCATCCAAAAGCAATCTCGTTGCAGTTAGTTCCTTGGATTTGAGATACCAACTCGGCAATGCCATTGCAGGGAAGGGCAGCCAGTTGACCTATGACACACAATTAACAAGCGATGTAACATTGGTTTGTTAAACAGGCGGAACAAATTCATAACAACTGTTAACACTTAGTCGATAGAAACTATTGGATGCTCTAAGTACGGGAACTAACGTTTTCCGGGTTAATGGTGTCAATTGCACGGTGAAAATGTTCGACCGTAAACGGTGATTGTCGGTTGGCTCTATTACACGAGCGCCATCGCCACATTCTGGGCAATACGTCCCTCTCGTCCTGTTTCAGTTTATACGGACTTATCTGAAGAATTTCATAAGTCCACACCTACACGTGGTCGTACAAATTATGTCCACTGTTCGAGATGAACACTAACTGCCAAAAAAGTTTATGTAACGGAACATGAAAATGTCGAATTGACACAAAGTGAAGGCAATTCTGGACTTACCTCCCAAACGAAGCTGTAGCCGCCAAGTCTTTTCGTCAGGCGTCGGGAGACGGCGGACATAAATCTGTACAAGGTTGCCATCCCCGCCCCTCCCCAATTATAATCCCCTATACGATCTACGTCCTCCAGCGCAGGCAGACAGCACAGGTGAATTGTTTCGGCCGTGTTGCTAAGTAAAGTGCGTCCAAGCATGTATAGAAAGAAAGCTCTAGTCAGATGTGCTAGCTGGACGTCGTCGTTCTCGTCAATCGCCTTGTCTTTGTAGAATGACAATATATCGGTAACTCTGATGGCACCGCCAGAAGCAAAAGCTGGCACCCAACCCAATTGCTCCTTGATGTAATTGGCATTTTCCCTAACATTGTAATCCCACGAAATAGGCAAGCCGCCCACTGCAACACCGGTTATACAGGTGAAGTCCAAGGGTGTCAGTGTCATCTCTTCGAAAAGCAAGTGGAAGGAGTTTGTTGAGTCCCACCATCGCTCCGCAAGTGCGACAGGCAACTTCCTATCTCTATCGGCCACGGGCAAGTGGCTCAGAAAATCCCCAAACCCAGCACTAACAACTTTCGCGGTCACCTTATGAGGCAGCTTCTTCCACCACTCCATAATTTCGACTGACGACCCTCTAGGATAAATTGAATAGACTTCCTGTGCATTAATGTAGAACCAAGTCAGCCATTTATATATATGTATAAACCAAATGAGGACTTAGGGCAAAATAAGCACAAGTAATTGTCGACATTGATTCTGCAACGTTTACCCCCTGTGTAAGGAAAATGTGTGGTATGTGGCTTTTCCGATCAACCAGCAGGTCTTGCGAGTGTTCTTCATCACGCGGTGGCCGGTAGCGAT